GCTCCTGGGTGGCGGTTCAGTGGGGCTAAGGCAGGCTCACTCCTGCCCTGTCCCTGCACCATTCCCAAAAGCTGCCAGCAAACTTACTCTATCCCTAGTCCTGTTGTGCCCCCCCTTCTCTGTGGAGATAGGATACAGGGTGGGACAAGGGGGCACCTTGACATCAGCGCCCTCTTTTGCTTCCCCTGCTCTGCACAGCAAGCAGGAGGCTTCTGGGGGAACAGCTCCAAGGCAAAGTGCCAGAGGTGCGCAGCAGTGGGCAGAGGAACAGCTAAAGTGTTGGCACTTGATAGCCACTGTGCCAAACCAGTCAGGATCACCTGTCAGAGGCTCTGGATCTACTGGTAGATCTTGATCTACTGGTTGGTGATCACTGCCTTAAGTTGACCTGCAGGGCCTAATGTAGACCTGGCCTAAGATTGCCAACAGTAGCATTGCCAGCTGTCATAATTTAATCATGGGTTTTGTGACATCTAGTGTTTCTTACAGAAGCCAGGTGCGGGCAATCATGCGATTGCATCTTTCAACAAAGTTTCTGGCTCTTTGGGTAGAGGAAAACCTTGAAAATGTGCCCCGAAGGCTCAAGAACCACCAGGCAAAAGAAAAACAACCTCACTTGTTTGGGTTGTTTAAACCTCATGATTTTTAGGCACCCAGCTTGTGATTTTTGAATGCATGAGGGTAAGCAATACTGCAGGAGCTGATTTTCAGACAAAGCCAGGGAAGGAAGGAGCCGTCTGCCCACACCCCTCCCTGGGATGCATATTCTAATTTTCCTCCACCCAATCCCATCTAAATGTTGTGATATTCCACTTGTACCAGAGTTAACTCACTTCAGAAGCCAATTACAAAGCATGGTCATAAGAAATCTTATCTGCACTTATGCTGAAGAAATGGATCCCACATCATTTTAAACAGCCTGAGCTCATACATTCATTAGGGTCCATAGGTGTGCGAACAGGGTGTGCCGGGTGTGCCTAGGCACACCCTAATGAAGAGGCAGACTGGCCCGGTGGGACGGAGCCACTGGGCTCTGCACCCCTGCACTGGAGCCGGTAGGGGCACCGGCAAGGAGGACGGCAAGCTGACCCCGGCTGGGGAAGGTACCGGGCTGGGGAAAGGAAAGCCGTCAACCCAGGCGGCAGCGTCAGGAGGAGCCAGGGCTGCGCCGGGGATGGGGTCATGTGTGGCACGCTGGAGGGGGCGGTGCCACATTGGTGTGGCATTGCAGCGCCGTTTTTAAAAATGGCCAAGCCGCAGATTGTGGAAGGAGACGCGCCGAGTGGGGCGTGGGGGAGCACAGCCTGGCTAGAGGTGGGACGGCAGCTGGGCTGGGGCTGCGAATGCCAAGCGGCCCAGCTCCAGGTCCGGTATGTGGTCTGGAGCCTGGGCTGTGGGGACTTCTGGGGTCCGATTGCAGCAGACTCCAGCCCTGCAAACTGGAAGGCAGAAGGTAGGCGAGGGGAGGGGAGAGGAAGAGGGAAAAATAGGGAGAAGGGGTGGGAGAGGAAGGGGCTTGTGCTGATGGAAGGGGGGCAGGTCAGGAAAAGAAAGGGGAAGGCACCAAGGGACAGGGTGGAGGAGAGACAAATGCGGGGGTGGTGGTGGTAAGTGGAGACAATGAGGAAAAGGGCAGGAGCCAGGAGGGGAGGTGTCAGTGGGAGGGGGACAGGGTGATGCTGGGAGAGGAGAGAGTAAGGGCATTGGAGGCTAGAGGGGGGGAGGTGCTGGGAGAAGGCTTGAAAGAAGGGGTGGGCATGAGGAAGGTGGGGATGGAGAAAGGCATGTGTGAGGGCACAGGGGCATGATCATGTGTGGGGGCACGAGGGGAACAGGGGCAGAGGGTGGGCATCAGGGAAAAAGAGAGCAAAGTGGGCAGGGGCAATGAAGGAAGATGGAGACACCAGGAGGGTGCAGGGCTAAGGGAAGGTGCAGGTGCCAGGGGATTCTGGGGGTGAAGCAGAAGGGCAGACACCTGCAGGGGAAGGACCATCACCAGAGGAGAAAGGCAGGGCAGGTGTGTAGAGGGAGGTATTAGGAGAGGGGATGAGGAGGGGTAGCTCATATGATCAGAGTGGGGCTACTGGAGGAGTGGGCACAGGAGGGAGAGAAGGGCTGGTGGAGGGGGGCAGGTCTCAGGAAGTCTGAGGGCAGTGAGAAGAGCAGGAGTCAGGACAGCAGATGAGGGTGAGGGGTTGGGGGCAGCAGGCACCAGGGGAGCTGATGGAGCTAGGGGAGGAGACATGGCAGCAGAGGGAAAAGGCAGACATTTATAAGATATTCATTAATAACTTGGGTGCCACTGTGGCACGTCCAAACAAGCCACATGAACTCAGTACTGGTGCACAACACAAAATTCATTCTGCTCATGGGAGGAAACTCTTAGAGGGAACACTTCCCCCAGCCTCTCCGCCTCCGAGTTAATGTCACACATTGGGTTAATGCAATTGCAGGATAGTTGCATGCAGGGGGTTTGGTGAGGGCCAAACTAATCCCTGTTGGTAGGAAGATGGTGGGAAAAGTCCTTGAGGGGGTCACGTGACACCCTTTACTTCTGGTCATGTGTCCATCTTGCCCGGGGAGTGTTGCCTCCAGAGGCATGGCTAATGGGGGGTTAGGGGTGTGGCTAATGGAGGTCAAAGAGTACATTTTTTAAAAATTCTTTGGGAGCACACCCTAATGAAATGTGCTGCGCACGCCTATGTTAGGGGCCTTGGCCTCTCATGTGTTGACCTCTGTAAGATGAGAGGTGTGCAAACAATGCACAGAAATGCGCACACAAGAGTGCACAATCACACCAGGAATGCAGACACATGCACTCACAGCTATACAAATGACCACACCTGTGCACACCAGAGCACTCACACCCACAGACATGTAGAAACAGATATGGAGGAACAAACAGGCAGACAGGAGTGCACCCACACACATTATGAAGTGGCAGACAAGGGGAACAACAGCCTTCTTCACCCCATCCTGAGCACGCTGGAGGTGGAAAGACGGAGAAAGTCAGCAGCTCTTGCAAGCAGCTAAGAGAGAGACTAGCAGATAATAAAGCTGGTAGAAAACAACTAATAAA